ACTCTCATGGCTAGAGCTGTGGAGACAGGATTTCTGGGGATCTATTCCAGGCTCTTCCACTGCCTCCTTACACAACCTCTGAGTCACCTCTATAATGGACATTCTACTTATCCACTGATGGAGTCTTGTGAAGCTTAACATGTGCCAATCCCTTCTAGGATGAAAGGCACCGTAGAAGAATCCCCATTAACACCCAGCTTTATCAGTTTCCTGGGGCAAAGCCACAAATAGACCCAGCTGCCACAAACAGACATGGAGTTTCTCTTCCCAAAGATGCCATAAAACCAGGCTCACAATTTGCCCCCACACAGGTTTGGTTCCTCTCAGATGGAAAGAAGGCACAGCCAGCACCAATCAACTCTCCATGTTCCACCAGCAAGTGGTGTGTGGATCACAGGCCAGGGACTTCCTGCAGCATCGTCAGTTGCACGCAGAGTTCTAGGGCTTTGCACATAAGCATTGCTGTGCCTGCAACTGAAGGCACAGCGTGAAAATCATTTTATCAAGTTCTATACGTGCTCACACAAACACGACCATCCCTGCTTTCATTATTAGAACCCTTGTGGCACCCACAGCTGCTTCTTTGCCTAGAAAAATGTTTAGCCCTCTCAAAGCCCTTGTCTCCCAAGCACTGTACAACTAGTACTATTCCCATGGTACAGAAGGGGAAACTGAGGCACAGATGTTCCCTAGCTTGCCTAACAGCAGAGTCTCAATGTCAGAGCCAGGACTGGAACCCATGAATCCCAACTCCCAGAGCCATGCTTATGCTGGGATAAAAAGAAATGAAAGGTGTCACTTGGTGACACTAGTGACTTCAACTAACAGAAAGACAGACGAGTCCCACTCCTCCTCCCACACCACTGTACAGGGATATCCTTTGTTCACTGGGGAGCATTACAGTATGAAGGTTAACACATGACAGTAGCAGAGAACAGAGGTAATTACAGAAGCGCCAGCAAACCTTCCAAGCCATTTATCAAAAGCATCCCCTGAGGAGACAGGTAAGATGATAAATATTTCACAACAAATTCGTGCCCAAGGCATTTGATTCAATAAAATGCACGCCCTCCCCACCCTATTCAAGTTCTCTTTGATGGGAGCCACATGTCAGGTCAGCCACACTGAAGGTCTCTATTGCCTGCTCTCCCCATTCTCCTCCCAGCCCACTGGCCTCCCTGGGGACAAGAGTGGAATGTACAAATTCCACTTAGCGAATAAAAGATCAGAGAACTGAACTGTGGCCCAGACACAGCTTACTAGCCCCTCTTTGCCCACAGTCAAAAAGCACTGGAGTCACAAACTGTAGTTGGCCTTTGTATTCTAAAGGCCAAGAGGGGAAAGCAGGGTGGGGCAGATTCAAAAGGAACAGGCTGTGCTGTAAAGTGGTTTGGGGCCAGGTTAGAACAGCGAAAGGGACTGAAAGAAGAGCAAGACTGGCATGAATCATGCTGGCAAGGGGCCTGAAAAAGGTGCCCTGAAGGAAAGAGGGTATGAAGTGAATAACCAGCCAGGCCAAAAACCCCAACGAAACAAAACAAAAATAGATTCTCACATACCTGTCTCTGGCTTAGAATTAAAACTTCATTACTGCACGCATTGAACTTGGGAGTTCTTGTCGGCTTCTGGTCACATCAATCCAGGGCAGGGCGGAGGAGCACTGGGAAAGTTACACAGAGAAGCACCCTTGCTTCCCCAAACCTACTACAAGGCACAGAATTCTAGCCAAGCACCTCGTTAGAACCTGCATCAGGCTGCAGCTTTAAATATTCCCACATAGGCACACTGGAGAGGAACCCAGCTGAGACTGAGTTTACACCTCGATTATTCCCCCCCCCCCCCCACACTCTATCCAGTTATAAACTAGGGGTGAGCCTGAACTACATCCACAGAGCCAGACCTCCTGGAACTTCAGGGAAAGGTTGGCTCTGGATTCCAATATTGCAGCTCCACCCATTTCTGTCATAACCCCCTCCCCCTACGGATTAGGAAACCAAGCAATGCAGGTGTTGCAAACTTAATATGTTTCTTACACATTTCAGCTCTCTGGAAATCCAACCCAAGATCAATTAGCCTTGGTTAGGTCAAGCTGTAGCTCTTGCAGCTGGGTAACATACAAGTCAATTTCCCCCTCCATCATTTCTGGAAATTTGCCAAAGGCCTTAGTTCAGCTGCTGGCATTCTTCTTTTTAGAATAAAGAGCCAACCCCATTTTCAGCAGTGTTTCTTCTTTGGGGAAGCAGTACTGCTCCTTAAAGTTGTCACACTTGAGGAATACTTTCTGCTTAGAGGAAGCAATTCCCTAGTTACACAATTACTTGTATTGTAAACTGTTTGGGACAAGGACTGCCTCTTGGTTCTGTGTTTGGACAGCGCCTTGCACAATGTGCCCCTGGTTCGTGACAGGGGTTCCTAGGTGCTACCACAATACAAGTAGTAACTTACCAGTAACTGGAACCCTTTGAGGACCACACTGTCGGGGAATGCGCCCCCAGTGCACAGAACTACTTAGCAGTGTCATGCCCCTTAGCTGCACAAGCACCCCAGGACAGTCTGTGCCCAACTTATAAAGGACATGGGGGCCCTCAACCATGCCAGTTCCTTCTCCTGTAGCTACACTGGGAAATTCTATCCATGAAACTGCTGCCAACAGCAATCAATTGCTATTACCAGGAAGGCGTAACCTCCAGCAGCAAGTGTTCCTAAATCCTGGAGATAACCCCACCTCGCACTGGTTTTCGAACTGCTCTACAAGCATTCTTCTCACACCTAGGTATCCTCATCCCCACTCCACGATGGGATACAGGGGGCACAGAGACCAGGCCACATAGCCCAAGGCCACAGAGCTAAGTGTCAGAGCCATGGCAAGTTCCTATGCAGCTCCAAACTCCCAGTCCAGCCCTCACCTCTCTGCGCTACTGCACCTTGCCTCTCATAGGAGCTTTGGTGTCTGCCATGAAAATGGCAAGTATGGGGGCAGAGACCTAGACAGGAGGATGCAGAGGGGAATTTTCAGTACCCATTTGTCTCCTTCAGAAATACTCGGGAAGCAGCAGTACACAGCACAGGGTGAGAGAGTGTCACATCACTTTCCCATGGCTTTTGTATAGATGCCACGTTTTGTTGGTTTTTGGGGGGGGGGGTTTTGTTTGAATGAAGGAAATTAAAAAAAAAAGAAAAAACCAAAGTTCCCCATGAATTCCCCCCCCCCCCTCCAGTTTTTTGATAAGAACAAAATTGGTAAAAAGTTTGTTTTTGAAAACTGAAAAAAAAATACAGAGGGAAAGAGTTGGGGTTTTTTCCCCAATTCCATTTTGTGTTGGGGGAAAAAAAATAAAATCAGAAGCTTTCAACCAAAACAATAGTTTTCTACAACAGCATTTGTTTCGATTGAGAAGCCATTTTTTGTGGAAAAAATACGACAAAATAAAACCGCTTTGTCCAGCTGTACTTGTGTGTTCCAGTGACTGGAATACACCGAGGTGCCACACGCACATGGCCAAGCTGGTCACTGGCCCCCTCCTCAACAGTAACCCCACCTCAATCAGGTAGCACTGTGCAAGGGCATTTTTCCTTTCTGCAGAACAGACACACTCCCCTTCTCCTCTCCCCGCAGTACCCTTCACTTCTGAATTCATTTCCCCTTCCCAAAGCTCTCCCCCTTCCCAGACCTCCCCCAATGATGCACTCTGAATTTGCTGCTCTCGTCTTCTCCTGGGGAATCGGATCTGCACCACACTTCCCAACGGCTCCACCGCACAATTTGGCACATCAATGCCGTGCTGAACACCCATATGGAAGGTCAGAGGCCTACAGCTTCAGTCACTACAGGATGACCAGACACTATTCTAGTGTCCCATTAACATGGTAGTCAGGGTGCTGTTGAAAGTGTTACAGGCACTTTAATACAAAAAAGGACTATTGTAACAGATTACTACAAAGGTAATTGTGTTTTTTTGACAGCAGAGTTGTAACTATAAACCTGGGAACACCGATACCAACAGAAATGACAAACCAACCCTTCAGCTGGGGTGCTGTGAAGACCTGCCCGTTGTTTTTAGAGTCACCGTACCATTAGTAGGTGCAGTCGTTCACCTGCCCTTCCCAGCCTCAGGGCTGGGTGCAATGCCTGCAGAGGCAGCTGCTGGAGCAGAGGGGTCACCGATGCTGGGCCTGTGGGCCACACTAGCAACCTGCCAGAAGCCTGAGAGCTGCACGTGATTGGTATACACAGGAACAGGATGCAGACACCCTGATCTCGGACACAGAGGGGCAGCCCACAGACTTCAGGTGCCAGCATGCCATGCTCCAGCTCCACCTCAGCAGAACATGGGTGGGGGGTAGGCTGCACTTGAGGACTCCACAAGCAGCTAGCAGGCTCCTTGCTCTTTTGTTAGTGGTAACAGACAAAGCAGGGACATGCTGTACCCAGCTAAGCGTTGGCCACATACAACTGAAAACACAGTAAGTGCATCAGCATCACCTTCCCAGGGACATCTTGGGAGTTTACCCTGGCTCTGTACATGATTAAAGAATATTTAACAGAAAAGGACATCAGCCTTGCCAATCCTGCAGACATCAGTGATGAGCAGCGCACACTGGGGGGGAGGGATCAGAGACCGGGACACGTCAAGAGGCAGTCCGGTTCCAGACCCACTGTACAATCTGTAAGCGAGTGCCTCTCTCTAGCCAAGACTCCAAGTACAGGTCTTTTGGCTCAGGCAGGAGGAAGTATCCCTTTTGGCTCTCCCCACTGGGATGGCTGCCCATGGACGGCTGGGTCATTGGTCGGACTTGCAGCCCCCATAGCAGGGAGGATATACAAGCAGCAAGTCAGGATGCTGGCTGAGGAAGAAGTGCTATTAACCCATTAGCTCTCGCTCCAACTCGTATCAGGCAGACATGACAGAGACAGAAGCATTTGAATTACCCTGACAGACAACACCTATTAACTCACCAAAGCCCTTAGATGAAGCCATCCTCCCATGCGTGCCCCTAATTAGCTCAGGTGCCCATCATGTGCATTTACAAGTGGCACAGTAGTATAGGAGACAAGTCCTGACTGTAAGGCATCCATGGGTAGAGGTAGACTTGGGATTTTCTCCAGTCTGTACAAAAAAGAAAATTATTTTCCCCTCTGAACAAAAAACACCCCTGTGTGTTCAGTTCAGTATCCAGCTCTGCTGGATTGCAACCCAATTCCGCAAGGCAGGGAGGAAAGGGTTAACTGCTGCCGCTGCCTTGAGCTGTCCGGCTGCGCTGGCCCCTGTGGATCTTCATGTGTTTGGATAAGTGGTCACTGCGGGCAAACTTCTTTTCGCAGGTCAGACACTGGTAGGGCTTGACGCCGGAGTGGGAGCGCTTGTGGCGCGAGAGCTCGTCCGACCGGGAAAACCTGCCGGGAGAAGGGAAGCACGTTGGGTTGTTTTGGCTGCACATTTACTGCTAGCTAACCTAGGAGAGGATGGTCATTCCCTGAGGCCACCAGGGCCAAGCCAGGAAACAGCGCAGAAGAGGACTGTGGGAACTAGGAAGGGGTAAGAAGGAAGGCCTAGGGGGTAGGGCACCGGACTGAGACTCAGGACACCTGGGGTCAATTCCCACCTCTGCCACAGACTCCCCATGTGACCTTGGGCAAGTCCCTTAGTCTCTAATGGTATGCTTACACCAGAAACGCTAGTGGCACACCTGTAGTGTAGAAACTTAGTACAGCGAGGGGGTCCTTCTGTTTCTATAGTAACTATCTCCACAAGGCGGTAGCTGCATTGACAGAAGAACTTTTCCATTTACCTAGTGGTGCCTACACTGGGATTTAGGTCAGTTTAACTACATCACAGGGCATGCAATTTTTCACAGCCCTGAGCAATATAGTTAAGCCCACCTAACTTTGTAGCGCAGACCAGCCCTCAGCTCCCCACCTATAAAATGGGGATTATACATCCCTGTGAGGGAACTGGTGAGTGAGAGATGCTTGACTACTACTGTGATGAGGATCAGATAAGCGCCTGGAGACAAATAGCAAGCACCAAAGGGGTAGAATGAAAACATCTTCTTGGCCAAAGTAATAATACTTGGCATTTGCACAGCGCTTTCCACCTAAGAGCTCTACAGACATTAATGAAACCTCAGCTCCCTTGTGAAATACAACCCCCATAAAGACATAAGGGTGAGCGCAGCTTGCCTGAAGTCCATGTACTACAGATTTCCCAGTTCCTCCTTTCACAACTACAGCACATAGCCTGGCATTTCCTCCTTTTGCTATAAACACATACCAGGCCAAGTGATCCCTGGTGTAATTTCAATCACTGATGTGGGTGGATTGACACCAGAGATGAATTTGGGCAGTTGTCTCCATTTTGTGGTTGGGAACAAGGCCACAGTAGCAGCAAGAATTTCATCCCAGTTAGGATGGGCTGCCCGGTCTCTGCTCTCCTCCCAGACCGGGCTAATTAGAAAGAACCCCAGACACACAGTACGGTTGCCAGCGAGTGTTTCCGAAGGGATGCCCACACACAGCCATCCCCATGGCAGGCAACTAGGATGCTTCCCTCATTCAGAACCTGCTCTCCCCTCAAAGAGCCTAGAAACTCCTGGGGACTGGATAGACACGGACTGGGAATGGGGTACAGTGCTTCGCACCTCTAGGTCACCGCTTCAGAGCCAGACCAGGGCAGTAGTGACCAAAAGCCCGTCCTTACCCTCTGGCAGCAGTTCAGTGGCCGGGCTGATTTTAGCAGTCTCGCTACAGTTCCCTATGGCCACGCCATCAAGCCTCCCCTACAACTGGCCCTAGTTACTCCCTTGCTGGAAGCGTTGGCTGAGAGGTTGAATGGAGTCAGGGACAACGAGCTGCCCCTCAGGCTTGGAGGCAGTCGCTCCAGGGCAGGGTAGAGGCACAGTGCTATGGGGACGCTTGCTCTGTAAACTGCCAGGCCAGTCTCTTTCACAAAGGTTTTTCTCCTCACCCATGGCACAGGCTCAACACAAGCTTTCCCACACATTCCCAGCAGCGAGTCCCAGCCCTGAGCTCATGAGACACTTCCAGGAGCCACTCTCCATTACCCACTCAATCCCTGGCTTCCCTATGAAGAGCAGCATTGGTTCGTCTGACAGGGGACACTGGCTCCCCCCTAAACTGTGACAGGAGTTCATTTCTCAAATGATCAAGAGCCAGGAGGAGGCAGCAGCTTCCCATCACTATCAGCCTTTGCTACATTCCAATCCGGGGACAGACATCCGCTCCTCCTGGGACCGGTTTAAATAGCGAACTTCACGTGCGAAGGCTGCATACACCAGTTTCACAGTTCTAGGCTGGAAGTTTCCATCCTGAGGCATGTTAGTGAAAGATCCAGATACTCACATGGCCCTCCTCCACTATGATACCTAGATAGACTCACCCACTCAGCTCCTTAATTCCACATATGAAGTGGATCAGCTTAACCTCTCACGAAAGCTCTTTAAGTGCATTCAAATCCCCGCCCAATTTCTCCAGCACCCTCTTTCCTCCACCCGAAACGGGGCGCCCAGAAATCCAAATCCTCAGGCACCATCAGCATAAAGGTTGGCTGCAGAACTGGATTTTCACAAGCTTGGGTTTGGCAGCATCTGCATTAGAAAGCCTCAGAACTGATGTGATATCACTGTGATGCTTCATGTTTACAAATATAACTGGAGAACACCCAACAAGGAGTACAGGAGAGCATCTACTCCCTATTCTAGCTCTGAGAAGCTCACACATATGGTAGAAGCATTAGACAGAAGGGTTTTTCCATATGGCTGAAACATACTAAAAGAATGTGGAGCAAGAAGCTTCAGTTACACTGAGGCTCACTACGATAGTATTTCAGTTCACATCTGATACAGTAAAATGCTGCGCCTGTGGGTCTGTTCACCAGTAACACTGCAGAAATTCAACAGATCCCAAGGCAGTCTCTCCAGACCTTCCAGGAGAAACACTGGCTTATTTTCTAGCCTAGCCATGAGCAGCAAATTCATGAGGATTTTTTTTTTTTTTTTTTTTAAAACAGTGAGCGATTTGATTGACAAGTTCCTGAGGAAAGCAATGGGCAATCCAATAGAGGAGACATTTATAAGTGGACCAATTATAGGAAGCAAGCTCTGGAAACAATCCTGCACTGGCCAGGGAATAGACTAGGAGTAACATTTTCAAACACACCTGAGTGACTTAGGAGCCAAACCATTTAAATCACTTTCAGTGGGACTTAGGTGTTTTCGAAAGTTTAACCTAAATGTCCTGAGAGGTCTTTCTATCCCAGCCCTCCTCAAAGCTCTGCTTTCTAGAATTCACTGTAAAAACTGAATCCCAGAACAAGGGCAGGTTACTTCTAGTTAAAACTCCCCTGCTGCATTAAAAGTTACGATCTCAGTTAAAACACAGTCAGCATATGAACAGCTGGGGGAAGCAGAGGCCTGAAAATTTACACTTGGAAGTCTTGGATTTGCTATATATTTAGTCCAGGACCCAGTGCCAAAAAATATTGTTAGACTGAAGGGACAGTGAGGTTTTAGAATCAGCTCTCAAGAGCGTTAGAGCTAGCAGAGGATGCTGCGTACCTTTGAAGAGAAGACAATGCCAGCTATCTAAAGAGACAAGACAACGGCTGAGTCAATCTTGCAAATGCACAGGAAGGAAGCAAGAGGGTAAGCAGAACTGAGATTTTCAAAAAGAGGGTCACGATCTGCCAGGGCCAGACAGGACAGATTTCCAAGGGCTCAGCACCCACAGCCCTAAACATGCTGGATGCTGAGCTCTTCTGAAAAACCTCATCCTGAGTGCAGGTACTGAGCACTTGAGAAAAGCAGGCCCTACCAGCCTGCTGCTAGTCTTTATAAACCCACGCACAGGCCAGATCCTGCAGGAGGCAGTCAATGACTTGGCTGCCTGGCAGCCATTGGAAAGGCGACCTTAACGCCAGGCTTCTCCACTTGCACACCCACCTCCAGCCGCAGTTGGGCCAGGTGCAAGTGTAGGGCTTCTCTCCAGTGTGGCGCCGGAAGTGCGCTTTGAGGTGGGAGCTCTTGGTGTACATCTTGCTGCAGCCAGGGTGCGTGCACTTGTGGACCCGGATGACAGAAGGGGAGACCTTCTGGAACTTGGGGGAAGCCTCAACCCCTCTCAGACTCCCCAGCGCCGCTGGCCTCAGAGCGATGGGCAGAGGGGCTATTTTGACGTACTTTTGGTCCAAGACAGTCACGGGGGGCTGGGCAGCCTGAGGGACAAAGGTCAGGCTTTGGCCCTGCACGCTGACGACCAACTGGGCCACCCTGATGCCATCCACAGCGCTTTGTGGTGTGGGGCTCCCACTGTTCATTTGGACGGGCTGGATCTGGAGGATAACGGGGATGCTCCCAATACCCACTGTCAGGCCCACAGCACCGGCTACCCCCCCAGCCTCAGCAGAGCTCAACACACCCCCTTCCGGAGCCATCCTGGGCGTAGGCTGCTCCCTAGGGCTCCCCAGGTTGATCTCCGACTTGATCTCCAGCTTCCCTCTGACGGGCTGTTTCTCACTCAGCTCATCCTTGAGGAGCTCCATCTTCTCCTTCAGGAACTCCTCAATCTCCTCGAGGGTGGGGGTGAAATCTCTGGAGAGGTCATTGCAGAAGTCAGGCAGTTTCAGATGAGCTTCATAGAGGGTGGCTTGGGATTTCTCACTTTCTTTCTTCATCTTGGACACCAGGAGGCGGGCGTCTTGCGCAGGGCAGCTGCCATGGCGAAGGAGAAGACTGGAGCCATCCGGAGGGTCAGACGCTCCTGCGTCACAGTCTTCTGGCAGAACAGCAGACGGCATCTTTGTCTTACGAGCATCAGTGTTGCTGTCTAGCCAAGAGGCACCAGCTGGGGGGACCAGGGGGTCTGAAGCAGGGAGCAAGTCGCTGCAATTTAGAGAGACCATTTGTTGACTAGCGTCCTTTCTGCACGGAAAGATGTTAAATTGACTGGCTAGGAAACCCGTGTAACAATTCAGCTGGGCAGCAGTACAGCTGGTAGTCCTGATATTGCGGGGAAAGCGTTAGCCCACCTGCAAAGGAGCGACACCAAGGAGATTATTTACAGTGCAAACATCTAGGAACAATTCAATTACAAACAAGCCACTGTTGGTTTTTTTTTGTTTTGTTTTTGAATTGCTCTGTTGCTCAAACACACATCCCAGTTATTCTCTATCTAAGAGGTCTGCAGAGAACTGTATTGTCATGTGATGTAGGCTTTCTTCCTTGTTTCCATAATTTGCATTAGCAGCCACCTTCACATGCATGAAACACTTTCCTGATATCGCTCTTCTGTTTCAACAATCACTGCAGTTGCCAGAGGGACGGTTTGCAATAGCACATGGAAGGGGAAGTGGTTTGCATAGGCCTGACTAGGAGGGGGAGGTGATTCATGAGATAAAATCTAAGATATAATTAAAAGGAGCAAGGAGAGGAAGCCCATGCTAGAGCCATTTGTGAGCTCTTGGCTTCCTGTGAGTAAGCAAATGCATGGGATTCCTTCAGAGCTGTCCAAACCAGTTGTGCCAGTCCTTGCTAGCGCCATCTCCCCAGGTCCCTTACGGTCAGGAAGGGCAGATTCTGAGGAGCTTTCCAGTTTTAGCAAGCCCGGCCTTAAAAATAAAAAAGCATCTGACTTAGTTCATGATCTGCCAAGGGCAAAACGTAGGACAAAGACCCTAAAATTGCTCAAGGCCTTTCGCAATATGGTTCATAACCTGTCCTTGGCATGACTTTGCATCTCTTGCCTGGACAATTCACAATGAACAGAAGCCAACACCGGGTGTATGTGAAGCAAGAGGGGACATTGGGCCATATCAGTCTCACCCCATCTTCAGATCCCTGCGCTGGGCTTCCAGCTTTCCTCCCACATGAAGATGAGGAGTTTGAATTTAAAAGCTCTACACAGCCCCAACCCTGCCTATAGCTCTGCTCCCCTTTCACCCCACCCCCATTTCCCCTCCCCCACTTCTCAATCCGGATACTTCCCTCTCCATCCTGCCTCAGATCTACTCCTTTCAGGCTGCTGGCTATGTTTACAACAGCCTCCCCCTCTCCGCACACCATGGACCTTCCTTATCCTCCTTCCACTCTCCCCTTAAAAGCCAGTTCTTCCCTGAAACCTGCCAGTGCTGCAGGGACCAGGTTGCAAAGTCTGGGTGAGCTGACTTGTTCTTGAACCCTCCACTAACAAGACAGACAGCTAAGCAGCATAGTTATAGGAGGGTCCAGCCATTAGCGCACTAGTCTGGGACTCAGGAGACCCGAGTTCAATTCCCTACTCTGTCAGACTCCCTGTGAGATCTTGGACAAGTCATTTCGTCTCTGAGCCTCACTTCCCCTTAGCATGGCCCTACTTCACAGGAATGTTGTGAGGCCAAACATTAAGTCATAAGATGCTCAGATCAATGGGGCCAAGTACTTAAGACAGACACGCTCTGGATTTGCCAGGTATCAATGACAGCATCTTGCCTACCGGAAGCATTTTTTAGATTTTACAGGTTTAACTAAAATTCACAGTATCAATCTACATGGATGACAACATTCAAGAATAATTAACAGACATGTCATGTATAAAAAAAACCAGAGCCAGCTTTCACTGAAGCGTATCGCTGGACTAGGTTAGTTCTTTAGACGTTAGTTTGTGTTTCTATAGCATCTTTTGTTTGCAGTGTTGTTGTAGCCATGTTGGTCCCGGGATATTAGAGAGACAACACGGGTGAAGTAATACTGCTGGTGAGAGACAAGCTCTTTAGGAAGAGCTCTGTGTAGCTGAAAGCTTGTCTCTCTCACCAACAGAAGTAGTCCAATAAAAGATATTCCCTCCTCCACCTTGTCTCCCTACAGCACCTTTTGTTATGGGAGGATCTAAAAGCATTTTTTTAAGTCTCCCAATGACCCTGGGAAGTAGGTAAATATGCTGAAATCACAGATAGGCAGCCGAGGCACAAAGAGGTAAAGTGACTTGCCGAAGGTCACACAATGGGCAAGAGTTGGGAACAGAACCCAGAAGTCCCCACTTCCAACCTCCTGCGGTAATCTGTACAGTGCACTCCCGCCCCTTCTTTTTAAAGGTTCAAAATGGCAAATGACTATCAACTCTTCGGGGCAAGGACTGTAATTTACTAGGTTTGAACAGGGTCTAGTGCAATGGGACCTCTGCAAAATAAATGATCAATAATTTGGATACTAAGGCATTTGCACCATCATCATCAGTGACCCGATACCATGAAAAGAGCAGACACAGAAAAGCCCACAGATAGAATAGTCAAGGGCTAGTGAGCATGCACAGGCATTAGCATGCAAAAGCTGCTCTACAAAAATGAGAGCAAGGAGATAACTGCTCCCCGGTAGAATGGGTCCACAAAACGGATTAGACTTACTTGAGGCAAAGGAAAACGATGATTGAAATACGGGACCACGACTCAGATCTGGATTCTATCCCTGGCTCCGCCACGCACGTCCTGTGTGATCTTGCAAGTCACTTTACTCTCTGCACCTCAGTGACCTCTGACAAAATCACTTCTCTCTCTCTGCCTCAGTTTGCCTCTCTGCGCAAGGGGGCTAATAAAACTGCCCTACCTCACCCGCAAGGGGTTACCAGGCTGAGTGGTTTTTAAAGTGCTCCCACACCCTGGGATGAGAGGCAGGGTATTGTTAGCAGCAAAGCACTGGCTGTGGCAGCACAACTGTGTGCCACAGGGATCTCTGGTGATTCCCGGGAGCTGGAGTCTCACATGACTTAGTTGCAGGCGCCATATGCTGCCGGGAGTTCACAGTGAAAGGGACTGCAGATGAAACAGGCACAATCCACACGAGCACGCTGTAAACTGACTTAGTGCCATTCCCCGGCTTACCATGCAACTTCCCTGCTTACTCTAGCCCCTATCATTCATGGCAAAATCAGGTCCCGCCCTCCGGGCACGCCTGAATGGCCAGCTCTTCTGTCAACCAACCGATCCGGGGGGTTGCGATAGGGCACCTCCCCCTGCAAGCCGGGGGAGACCGGACTGAGTTACACTCCCCACATGACGCAGCCAAGCACACAGCAGCCATTCAGCCTGGAAAACTCATCTGTGCTTCAGCCTGTCAAGCGCGGGGCCCCTTTAAAGCCCAGCCGGGGGGGGGGGGGGGGGCTCGGCCCCCGAACACTTGGCGTGTCTCGGCCCGCAAAACACAACCCTCCCCTCCCCTCCCCCTGAGATCCGCGGGAACGCGCTTTCCTCCGCCTGCCCGCTGTCCAGCCCCGAGCATTCCCCTGCCCAGAGCCAGGGACCTGCGGGAGTCTCTCCCCAGCCCGCCCCGTGGGAACGCAGCCAGCCCGCCCGGCTCCCCTCCCCTCCCGAGCACGGGAACAGGCCCCCGGGGAGCGCATCTGGGCAGAGTCACCCACGTGGCGGCGGCTTCGTTTCTCCCCCGTCCCCTCCCAGCGCCGGCGGGGGCTTTCCCCACCGCCGGGGGGGTTTAGCTCTAGGGGGCGGAGGGGCCGCCGCCTTTCTCCCTTGCTGGATTAGGGAGGCTCGGGGGGGGACTAATACGGTCAAGTAGCCGAGGGTAAATGGAGCCCGCCCACTTCTCCGGGGAATAGGGAGTTTAGGGGAGTTACTTTTTTTCTTTAAACCACCGCGCTGGAAGAAGTGAAAACATCAGCATCCCCCATCCCCTCCCTTCGCCCCCCACACCAGGCCGGGCATCCCCCCTCCCCACTGCCCCCGGAAGGCCCCCGGCAGCTCAGAACCGCCCCCTTCCCGGCTGCGCTCCTCTTACCAGCCGGCTGCCCCCTTCCATGCTGGCACCTCCAGCTCCGCTCGCTCACATGACCCGGGGGAAGCTCCAGCCGGAGCCGCCGCCGCCGCCCCGCCCAGCCGAGGGCTCGGCTCGGTCCCCGCAGCCCCATTGGTGCGCGGCCGCTGGGGCTCGCCTGGCCCGCAGCCGGAGGGAGCAGCATGTGCGCAGCAGAGCAGGGACACGCCTCTGTCCTGAGCCCCACTCGCTACAGCTGACGGGAGAATGTGTGTGTGTTTCTCGAGGGGTATTTAATAAAAAATAGGGTCATTAAGGGGTCATCACCCCGGTAATTAATGGGGGGGTCTAATAACTAATAATCACATTTAATAATTAAGGGCTGCGGAACAATCATCCGCATGATTAGAAGTTTAACAATCCCAGCAGCCGACCATTAATTCACAATTCAGAGATAACAGTGAATAACCAGCAGTTAATTGTAATTAGAGGATGAAGCAATGCCACTAAAGGACAATAATGAAGAGGTTAATTAAGGAATACTGGATAATTAAGGATAATAATATGGACCTTAAGTACTGAGCCTTTATCTGCCCATAAGGACCAGTGGGGACAGTGAAAGGCCAGATTTGCAAAGGTATTTAGGCACCTAAAGGTGCTGATCAGCATGTGGTGTAATTTTCAAAAGCAGCTACGGTGCCTAATGCCACTGGGCACCTAGCTGCTTTTTTAGGCACCTAAAATACCTTTAAAAATCTGGCCCCAGGTGTGTGGGACAAAGGCTTAGTACCCAGTCACAATCCCTTAGTACCCAGGTCCAGGTAGGGGAGGGGAGGGCCTCCATAGTCCACCTTGAGGTGGTTTTATTGTTTGAATAGAAATCCCTAAGGATACGCTCAATCACTAGAAACACTGGGATCCAGGCTCTACCAGTCCAGAATAATTATAAGATATAATAATCGATTAATAATATTCTTCATGCAGACATGTGGGGGATGCACAGAGTCCACCATATTTGACATTTCTAGAGCACCCTCCATCAAAGCACTGACCATATGATCCTCTGCACTGGAGCAGTTTTGTACACCTGCTAGGGCTTGACTTGAGAGAGGAATTCCTCCTGCTTCGCACTCCAAATCAGACAGAGACATTAGCAACAGGCAAA